CGCGGCGGACAAGGAGGAGGACACGAAGGAGGCAGAGAAGTCCGACAACATTTGGGGCGAGGCCGACGGAGAAGGAGAGGAAGATTTCTTGTCGAATCTCTCTGCAACCAAGGGCGCCAAGACGGACAGTCCTTTCCACCTGCTGGCTGATACGGATACCACAGTGGAAAAGTCCATCACCAAGGCTTTGATGCTCGGAAACTTTGCAAAGGCCACTGAGATCTCTCTCAAGGAACAGCGTTGGGCAGATGCTTTCCTCATTGCCAACTGCGGTGGACAGGAGCTGGTGGACAAGGTGCAGACTGCCTACCTTGCCAGCAAGGACGGTGTCCCAAGCTATGTCCGCTTGCTCGGATCGGTCATTGCCAAGAACCTGTGGGATGTTGTTTACAACGCCGATCTCGAGAACTGGAAGGAGTCAATGGCCGTTCTTTGCACGTTTTCTGACCCCAAGGAGTTCCCTGATCTCTGCGAGGCCCTTGGAGACCGGATCCTCGAGAACGGCTCCCGCAAGGATGCTTCTTTCTGTTTCCTCGTTGGGTCAAAGCTTGAGAAGGTTGTCTCCATCTGGATCACAGAGCTTGAGGAGGCCGAGCAGGCTGGCATGCAGGAGCCCAGCGACGATTCGACGTTCTCTGTGCACGCTCGATCGCTTCAGCATTTCATCGAGAAGGTGACTATCTTCCGTCAAGTCACCAAGTTCCAGGACTCTGGAAAGGAGCAATCCGCCGACTGGAAGCTTTCAGCTTTGTACGAAAAGTACACCGAGTATGCCGAGATCATTGCCGCTCACGGTCAACTCGTGGTTGCCCAAAAATACCTGGACTTGCTGCCCAAGGAGTACCCTGAGGCGCAGCTGGCGAGGGAGCGTCTGGCACGGGCTACAGGCAAGGCGGCCGTCTTGCAGGCCGCACCAAAGGCGGCGCCTGCTGCTGGACGTCGCCCGGGACAGCCCCCTGCGCCGGTCAACCCCCGGGCCACCCCCGGCTACCAGCCCTATCAGCCCGCAGCTCCTGCCCCGACTCCTGTCGGCGCTAGCCCGTACGCGCCGGCGGGACCGGCTCTCGTTGCAGCAACCGGACCGGCAGCTGCGTCCAACCCATATGCCCCGGCTGCCCCGGCGATTGGTGGCTACACACCTGCCGGCCAGTCACCTTACGCCCCAAGCCAAGGCTATCAGCCTCCTGTCGCCCAGCCGTCTTACCAAGCACCCTCGGGCTATGGACCGCCTCCCTCAAACTTCGGCTCCGTGCCGCCGCCGCCGCGGAACTCCACGCCTACTACGTCCTTCCGCCCCAAGGAGAGTTGGAATGATGTGCCTTTGGTTGCCAAGGCACCTCCTCCAAGGAAGACCACTCCTAGTGTCTCTGCAATCTCTTCGCCGTTCTCTCAGCAACCTAATCAGCCGGGTCCCCCGCCTCAGAGCCCGTACGGACGCAGTGGTTCAACGCCTCCTCCTCCTCCGCCCAAGGGCCCAGCCCCGCCTCGTGTCACGTCTCCTTTGGCTGGACCTCCCCAGACTTTCCAAGCCCCGCCTAGGCCAACATCATCGGCTTCGAACGCATACGCTCCTCCGCCCCCTCAGCCCGGCGCGATGCCTTCGTCCATGCCACCACCATCCATGCCTCGCACTGCGTCTCCATACAATCCTCCTCCATCTGGCCCTGCTCCTTCTAACCGCTACGCACCCGCTCCCTCGGCCCAACCGCAAGCAAGCCAACCACCCATGGGGTCCTCAATGCCACCTCCCGGAAGCCAGCCTCCCCCGAGAAATCCCTATGCGCCACCGCCCCAATCGACGGGCACACCGCAGAACCAGTACGCGCCTTCGCCGTACGGAGCCCCGCCTGCTGCAGCCTCGAGGCCGCCTACTGGCCCTCCTCCTCCCTTCGGGGGGCCGCCGCCTGCTGCCAGAGCTCAGCCGACCCCTCCTCCCCCGAAGGCGGCTGCTCCGCCCAAGGCCAGGCACCCCGCTGGTGACCGATCGCACATTCCAGCTCACGCCCAGCGACTGGTTGATGCCCTCAGCTCGGATATGCAACGTGTAGCTTCTCGAGCGCCTTCATCCTTTGCTGCGCAAGTCAAGGATACCCAGAAGCGCCTCAATCTATTGTTTGATCACTTGAACAACGAGGAGCTGGTCAAGCCTGACACCATCGATCAACTTTGTGCTTTGGGCGAGTCCATTGAGCAGAAAAATTACGAGGTTGCCCACAAGATCCAAGTTGAGATCCAGCGGGACAAGACTGATGAATGTGGTAACTGGATGGTAAGTTTGCTGCTTTGACACTTGACTCAATACTTACTAACATCTTATCCCAGGTCGGTGTGAAGCGTTTGATCAGCATGAGCAAAGCCACTCCATGAGTGCTCTCTAGAAGTTAAGGGGGTGGGATGTCATGGGGCATTAGACGTTGATGATAGCCAACTGCGCTTTTACGTATACATTAGAGCTTAAATCGAATGTTGACACTGTGATTGATTGTTTGCAATGCTGCCGTAGTATGGATGCTCAGATAAATCAGACTCACGACAGTCAGAGGAAACATGATTAAAACGAAATCTCGACTGAGAGAGTGAACAGCTCTCCAATTAGACGAATTAAGCGCTGGGTTGACTATGAATTCAAATCTTGGAGCAACTAAGATTGTTCACTGCGTTAGGAGCATCTGCCTATGGTTTTCCACGCCAATACCTCTTTTGTTTGCAGGACGTTCTTGAGTGGCTTTGCGGCTGGAGCTCCCTGAGCTGGTCCTTTCCAAGATAAGATAAGCGCGGGCGGGTTAAAGCCAACATCATCCACAAAACGTCACACCTCGACAACCTGTCACCCCACAGTCAACAAACCAAACCACCCAAGATGACGGAGTCAACGCCAGAGGATGCCGCGGCTCAGCGCGCAGCCGAACAGATTCGTCTGCGCAAGGCGAAACGCGAGGCAAAAATTCGTGCCGGTGGTACAGCGAGACTCAACAAGATTACTGGTCTTGGTGGAGGACTCCAGCGAGGTACGACGACCCAACCCTTCTCGCCAGCTTGCGTAACTGCAGACGACAATTTTGAGCTTCACAAATGCTAATTCTTGGCTTCTATCCAGATGAGCCCGTATCGACGCCTCCGTCAGCATCATCGTCCCCAGCTCCTGCCACGTCGGGTCTGCCGAAGCCCAACGTGAGCGTCGACCATGCAGACCCCGAGGAAATCGACATTTCCCAGCACTACTACGAACCAGCCTCAACACCCCGTCCCTCTACTGCTGGACCACCCTTCGATCCCAACTCCATGAACGAGGACCAGCTTCGACAAATGATGCTCGGCTTCGAGGGCCCTGGTGCGGGCGGAGCCCCGCCCAACCCTTTTGCGGGTCCTGGTATGGGAGGAGGCATGCCCGGCGGCGAAGACGATCCCTTGATGAAGATGCTCTCTCAGATGATGGCCGGTGGCGGCGGCCCTGGCGGAATGCCAGGCTTCCCTGGCGCCGGTGGTGCGCAGGGTGGTTTCCCTGCGGGATTCCCTGGTATGACTGGCATGCCCGGTATGCCCGGTATGCAAACGCCCGAACAGGCCAAGGCCGCTTCGTCCGCCTACCTCTGGCGCATCGTCCACGCCGTCTTTGCAATCTCCCTTGGTCTCTACATCGCCCTCACGACGACCTTCTCCGGCAGTAAGCTCGAACGTGAGCGCACGGCGCTGTCTTACAACTACCCTACAGGCAGCGATGAGGCGGTTGCGGACGTGAATAGTATGGAAAAGGGCCGCGAAATTTTCTTCTGGATCTTCGCGACAACCGAAGCTGTGTTGCTTACGACAAGGTTCTTCATTGAGCGTGGACGGGCGCCTCCGCCAGGCATGTTGTGGACTGTTGTGGGATTCTTGCCTGGATCGATCAAGACTTATGCCGAGACTGCGTTGCGATACGGACAGATCTTCTTGACGGTGAGGAGCGATATCCTCGTCTGTGTGTTCGTCTTGGGTCTTGCTTCGTTGATTCGCGGATGAAGTCGCCGGTTGAGATGATCGACTGGTTAGGAGCAAGTTTAGGTAGAGGGTACTTCAGTCAAAGTTGAATTCGACCAGCCTCCAAGCATATTGGTCGATGCAGTATTTCTACCTAGAGTGCAATCCTTCATCTATTGAAAAATTCGGAAGCCCAAAGAAGCTCTTGTGGGAAGCCATGTGTGAAAAGCCCGTGTGACTGTGTTCGACCCCATACAATGTGCCAGTCCCAGATCTTTGATCCTAGCATTGCCATGGAGGTCTTATTTCACCTAGAATATAACCTGGCTAGCGATGATAGTGCTACAAGTATGAATTTTAATACTGGTAGTTGCGGACACGGAGGCGGAGGCGGTCCCGGACAACACCAACATTGCGCCTCGCCCGGACTTTTCCAACAGATCCGCAAGGCGACGAGAAAGAAGTTAGAGTTAGCAACAGAGGCACTCAGCCGAAATTCCGCCATGAGCACACTATCCTTTTTTGTATTCATTCATCTAGAAGTAAGGGGATAGGGTTGACTCTTGGCGCGAAGGCTAGACGCCCTGGCCGCCCACTTCCTCGCACTCAAGTGCCGTGTCCGTTTGCTTGGCTACGTTACGAGATTTACAAATGTTAGTCCGCCCGGAGGCCGTCTTTAAATTCAAAATATCCCTGTTGTAGTCAGTGTGGCTAGGATTGTTCCCCAGAACCGTTGCAGATCCATAATTCTATAGATTTTGTGATTAGAGGAGTTGCCCGAAGGCCACTGCGCAGTCGGTCATTGACAATCCGAGTACTCCAAGCGGGTGTAACATTTACCTTGCCTCCAGCGGAGTCTCCAATGGAGTCTATCTTGACGGAGAATAATGAAGGTCCCGAGCATTCTCATCTTAGAGTTGGGAGAAGAGCATGTATCATATAAGACAGCTTCTTGCCTTTCCGGGAGGTCTGATGTTTTCCCCTAACATGATCATATTCTCAAACCTGTGTAACTAGGAAACACTTTGACAAACGAAACGAACATGGCAGGACTTGCAGCCATCGCCGCAGCCGTAGCGGCAGCCGCCCTCCTCCTCCGCTCCGTCTACCTCTGGCTCATGCCCAAACCCATCCCAGGCCTCCCGCACAACAAGGACTCAGCGGGTCGTATTTCGGGCGACGTCCCTTACTTTGCAGAATACGACAAGGCGGCGCGCTTCCGGACGAGGTTCTTCTACGACCTGGTGGCCAAACACAAGTCGGCCGTCGTGCAGGTCCTCTTGCCCTTCTCGAAGCCCCTCGTTATTGTCGCGGACTATCGCGAGTCGAGGGATCTCATGGCGAAGCGGAGCAAAGAGCTCAGTCGCGGGTACATGAACAATGTGGCGTGGCAGGGTTTCTTGTCGGAGCACTTTGTTGCCATGGAAGATGCTCACCCTTCGTTTAAGACGTCAAGATTTCTTACCAAGGATTTGATGACAAATAGTTTTCTTCACTCTGTAAGATATTCCCTCTTGATATCCCCTTCTTAGCACCATATGAATACAAGAATACTAACGTCCTCTAGGTATCTGCCCCGGCATCTCATGTAGCAATCTCCGACTTCATCCGACTATGGAAACGCAAGGCAGCTCTCGCGCAGGGGCTGCCATTCGAGACCGTCGAGGACTTGGAGGGCCTCACCTACGATATCATGATGACCGCCGTCTTTGGGGTCGGGTACGAGGAGAGCACTATGACAAAGTACTCCAAGCTCTTGGAGGACGCCAACGAAGACAGCATCAACCCAGGCGGCTCGTCCGCACAAGTTGCCAAATTCCCGTCCCCCGAGACCCCGGCCTTGGTGAAAGCTCTCCACGCCCTCAACGTCTCCATCACGGCGGTCTTTGGCTCCGTATTCCCTAAGCTGTCCGTCTTCATCGAGAACCTGAAGCCCAAAGCGCGCCAGGCTCTGAAGTTGAAGAAGGACGCAGTACAGACCCAGATCGATGCCGCCGTCAAGAGGGCCGCCAAGGGGGTTTCATCGGAGCACAAGTCGGCAGTAGACTACGTCGTTTCTCGCGAGAAGACGGCAGCGATCGAGGAAGGTCGAGAGCCCAAGTACAATGGCATGCGTCTAAACGACATGCTTTGGGGATACATCGCCGGCGGCCAGGACTCTACCCATAGCACCTTATGCTTCACGGTCAAATACCTCGGCGCACACCAGGAAGCCCAGCAAAAGCTGCGAAGCGCCCTACGATCTACTTACACCGAACCATACGCACAGAAGCGCGAACCCACCATCGAAGAGATCCTCAGGACTCAGGTGCCCTACTTGGACGCCTTTATCGAGGAAACGCTGCGCCTGTGTAGTCCTGCGGGCGCCATCACTAAGGAAACCGTTCGCGACATTAACGTCCTTGGCCACATCATCCCCAAGGGCACGACAATCATGTTCCTCCTGACAGGCCCGACCTTCGTCCAGCCAGGCGTCCCCGTCGATGACGCAAAACGCAGTGAGACCTCGCAAAAGGCTTCGAGCGAGGGCGTCGGCGACTGGTCACATAGCGATTTCCCGGCCGAGGATTTCGCCCCTGAGCGGTGGTTGCAGCAGGCTGAGGGAGAGGGCGAGGCAGTCAAGTTCAACAACAACGCGGGACCGTTTATGAGTTTCAGCAGCGGACCTAGGGGCTGCTGGGGTAAACGGTTGGCGTACCTGGAGCTGAGGATGATTGTGACGCTTTTGGTGTGGAACTTGGAGTTTTTGAAGTTGCCTGCCGAGTTGGAGGATCCTGGATTGACAGAGGGGCTTTTCACGAAGCCCAAGTCTAGTATGATTAAGTTGAGGGTCATTTCTGATGCGGAATGATTTTAGGATTCCTCTTTGTAAAAGTCGATAACAATGTACCTGTCATGAGAAGTCTTGCCTGTATCTCCCTAGTCTCGTGCGTGAACGACCCTTTTGAATATGTACAAACTCAGTCTGTTCCCTCATTATGCTGTGCGATTTTTCGACAACGAGCTTGCGCTCGCCTATAGCAATGTGCGCCACAGCCTGCTCTTCTACCGAAGGTCCATCCAGCCTGTTACCAACGCATCATGACAGTGCCTGGCTGACTTGTGTAACTTACGCCAGGCTGCCATTTCGTTCCGAGCCTTTCTACACACGTAGTCCGCACTTCCCATACGATCTGGAGTCGTTCCACAGTCAACCATCGGATACACCATGATGATGGAGCATCATCAGGGGCAAGAACAATATCTCCTGGATTCCTATCGACAGCATACAGACGAGTCCGTCCATCATGAGGATTCCGCCGAGGCCAGAAAACATGACTAGTCGACTTCAAGCGGCATCGAAACATCAATGGTTGACTCTGCCCAGGCCTCTGCCCAGGCTTCTGTCCACCGAGACAGGTTGCTGCGACGTTCCTTTTTCCACACCAGAGCAACTCCCAACGACTGAAGACGAAGACGCCGAAGCGTCAGCAATTATCCCCGGAAACCACCCTATCGAAGCCACCCACTTCTGGTGGTACTGGGATTTTGCAGGCGCCGTATTTGCCGTCATTTGCATGATCCTCATCGCCGTGACTCTCTCCAAAGCCAACGGAAGTCCGCTGGTCGCTTGACCCTTGCTCGTATCCCCCAACACTATCGTCGCCGTGTTGACGACCGTTGCGAGGACGGCTCTCCTGGTGCCGCTGGGGAGCAGCATCAGCCAGCTCAAGTGGAGGCACTTACTACTCAAGGTCCGACCCCTCGAACATCTCCAACTATTTGACAACGCGAGCCGGGGCCCGTGGGGTTCGATCCTGATGATACGACATCTACTCGTTCAGTCGAAGCTGGCCTGCGCCCTATCTCTGGCCACCATTCTCATGCTCGGCATCTCCCCGAGCGCGCAGCAGATCCTCGAATACCCTACCTTATACCAGGAACTCCAGCACCTTGATGTTGCCATTGGCAGGGCCGATAAGTACTTCTCAAAGGGCTTTCGTCAACTACCCTTTCAGACTAGTAAGTGGCATACACCGAGCGGATGAAGTGAAGTGTGGATCTGGACTGACATACACTCGGTCACAGGGCAAAATAGAGATCCGAACGAAGATCTACCGGCATTTCAAAGCAAAGTTCTTCAAGCCCTTGCAGGTACCTCATCTCAACCGCAGTTTCTCTGCCCGCCGGCAGCGAATCGCTGCAGTTGGGGCGAGTTTAGCACGCCGGCCGTGTGTCGAGCCTTTCGCAACGTGACGGAGCAGACCATTCGAAACTGCGACGATCCGGGCTCGCCACTGCAGTATTGCAACTTTCCATCCCGTTGAGCGATGACTGACCCCGTGAAAATGATGCCACGTACCAAATATCAATGAGATATATCGATCACGATGCGTATCTCAGTGCACTGGTCTCATCTATGCTTAACACAATCTTCCTGCCCTTCAAGAACCAAGACGGTTGGATCGGGCAGTTCATCGTCCTCCGACACCCAGGTAAGAAGTGGGAAGACAAGGGCGAGTGGTTTTCCCCGAGCAATCCTACCACGCCGGAAGTCCTCGACACGGACTTCAGGCGGTGTCGAAAGACTTACCGGGGCGTGAATGCCACAAATGGCGTGATCGAGATCCGCGACGAGAACGTCGCCGAGTCCTTTCTTCAGTTCCATGAGAGGATAGACACTGACAAGGACAACCCCTACGACGTTGACGTCTTCGAGACGTTGGACGGGGGAGACAGATACGAGTTCACGAGGACATTGGCGTCCGAATTGCCCAGTTATCTGGAGTATATCCTCACGACCGAATACAGAGAACGCCCAGGAAATTGAGCCACCAACAAAGCGACGGCGAACTCGCCGATGCAAATGCAGCACCTCCTGTACCGGGCTGACATGGCCAATCTCACCAGGAACTTTAAGGTGGTCCTCATGGATCAAGCGCGTAGCAGCGACCCAGGGGACGACCGCAACGCGACGACGTTTATGCAGGGGCAGCAATTCGGCAGTATGACCTTTATACGAGTGCGGTGGGCGTGGTTCGCCGTTCCCGTGGCAGCAGTGGTGCTGGGGCTGGGCTTGTTCTTGACGACTGTCGTCTTGACCAGGCAGACGCCGTTGCTGAAGGATTCTCTTCTCGCTCTGTTGTTTTATCCTCTGAGAGACTGGGAGCAAGATGAAATCTATGTGGAGGGAGCGCAGGCGAGCGAGAAGCCACAGAAGCTTGCGGGAAGCCTGCATGGGAGGCTTGAGACTGATGAGGGTCGTTACAGGATTGTCAAGCAAGAGAATGTTGCCAAAGATGAACCGAAAGGGGATTTCAGTTGCGGAGAGCAGCAGGGAGCGTGAACCTTGTAAGTCGATGGAGCGCTACCATCATTCCGAGTTGAGTCGACTATTTCACGTTTGAGAAGTAGCAGCTAACCAGTCAAGTGGGCGAGAAAATGGGATGCCGCCTAATACCCTCCCTATTACTTATCCTACTGTTTTTATTACTACTACCATTATTATTATCATTGTTTCATCTATGTTATACTTCTTAAGCGATATTCTATATCAAATATTTTCAAGATAAAAAGTGGTAGTAATAACAATGATATAGAAAGTGAATGATAGGAAGGCTAGAAATAGAGCTAGGTACTTTATATTAGGCGGTAATCTATTATATTACTCACTTGCCAGTCATGCCACGTACATAGTCCCTTAATGAGGTCTAAAGGGTCATTTAATAGAATATATATAGAAATTGCCGTGAGCCATGTCGTCACGATACTCTTAAATCTCCTTGCTTCTAAACAGTAAAAGAGAATAACCTCAAGACGGTAAAAGATATATAACACTAGGTATTCGCTAGTCGTTCTCGACTTAACAACTAATCCGGCCCTAACTAGTATTTTCTAGGTAAAGCGTATACTACTTTTATTATAATAGTTTAAATAACTTAAAATAGAGGTTATTACTTTTTATTATAAGTAAGATAGAATATGGAATACCTAACTCTTTTTATCTTAAATAATAAATAATTAACTGAAAATACTAGGTTATTATTAATTTTATAAAATGTAACTTTAAGATATTATTTTACTAGTTTAAGATTTCTTATAATTAAAAGTTAAGTTTAGTTCTTTCAAATTAAAAACGTTTAATAAAATACAAACCTAATTATAAAGGGGCAGGTGGTGTGCTGCGCTCTTACCAATTAACTTAAAAGATCAGTCACTTCTAGCACTACGTGCCAGACGTGCACCACACGTACGCTTAAGTAAGCTCCTCGGCCAGGGGCTTCGTGCCTGCCTGCCGGCACCTTTACATTAATACCTAATCGCTTAGGTCTTTGATATTATAGTTAATTATATAATAAAGTTTTATAAACTATTTTTTTATTAATTATATTTTTTTGAAAATTAAAAAGAAGCTAGGCCTAGGCTATAAAAAGATTAGGACTATATAATTAATTAATAACTACTATATAAATTTAAAAGTTAATAACTAATTTAAAAATTAATAATATATTCATTATATAATAATTCTAATTAGTAATATATAGTGGTTTTTTTCTAGCTTTATAGACGTAAAAATTAACTTTAACAAAATTAATTTTAAAGAAAATTATATAATATAATACATAATTTAATTATATAATATATATAATATACTCTATATATATACTTGATTTAACATAATAATTTTAATTTAAAATATAATATAATATAATATAATATAAATAAATAAATTATATAGTAGTAACGTACATAATAAGCAAGTAGGCTAGACAAACGAATAGGCCACCTAACTACGACTATATAACATAAAAGTATAAATATTAATAACCGCCTTATATATTTAATCTAAACTATTTAAAGTCCTCTTCCTTAGACATTTCTTTATTAAATTAATATATTTATATATTATAATTAATATTTTTATAGATACTATATCGTCGTTAATCTATTTTAATCCTCGGTCGGTAACTATTATTTTAATATATTTCCTCTTTTATCTAGGCTATAACTTCTCTTTATAATTAAAGGTCCTCTTTTTTAGTTATAATAAAACTTCCTTCTTATTAAAGACGGTTTTTTTAACTCTCTAATATTACCTAAATAGGTTATTCTCCTCTCAAAAGATTTAATTTTTAAATCTTAATAAAGCGATTTTATATATAAACCTATAAGCCCCCTTAAATAGATATTTTATAGTTTTAATAATTAAAATTAAGGAACTATTTTAATAATGAGTAATTTTATTTTTAATAAGTTATAACTATAAAGACGTCTTGGTTAGGTTATTTAATATTGGGAATTAATATACGGGCGTCGCAAATTAATACACGGGCGTCGCTCTTATACGGGCGTCGCTGTTCGACCTTTTAATTAGTCCAAAAAAAATTTGTTAGTATAGTCAAATTCTACTAGATACCTACAAAGTATCCTAAGCCTTTGTTCCTTTGCTCCCTTTACGCTCAGGTTATATTATCAAGCCTCGAAATCTGACTTATAGTATTTGCCTATAATAGCTTCTGTAATTAGAGTCAGAGACGTTCCCCAAGGCTAATCTTAAAATAATACCCCTACTAAGAGACTTCCCCCTCTACAAGAACAACTATTAATTAATTACGGCCTCCTACTATTATCCGGCCAACTACTATTATCTCCCTCTTTAAAAAGTAGCCGCCCTAGCGTTAACTAATTTTATGGAGTTAGTGATCCTAAAGGGTAGTACAACCTTATTACCGAGCTCTTAGCCGGTATACTATAAGATACGCGACCTCTTGCAAACGATTACCCTAGTATGGAGCCTATATTATACCTTACTCGCCATTTCTTTAAGGGAATAACGAAAACCTAGCGGACTACCCTCCTATAACTTTATCTAGAATATAACCCCTCTCCCCCTAACGAACAGTCCTAACAACCTTCCTATCCTATAATAGAGTAGTTTAATAGTGCTCTTTAGTTTATTAAACAGGTTATTAGGACTAATTAATAGCTAACAACGGTACTACTCCGATAATAAGAATATATCCGTTAATAATAAGAAATATAGGGTCCCTAAGTCAACCTACCACCCTATTCACCCCTACGGCTATCCTCCATTTAAAGCGTAGCGTCTTTCCGAACTATAGCCTCCTACTACACTCCAAATAACCAATCCTCCTTTCCTCCTATAACCTAAATTCTAAACCTATCGATTCCTAGCGATCTAGAATAAACCTATAATGCCCTCTTCGACCGAGTTAATAACTTTACAAAAGCTAATGGATTTGGTATTATAAAGCGGAATAAGTATAAAGTTCGAGGCCGAATTATTCGATATACCTTCTAATATAATCAGTTTAGCGAGCCTAGGCCTATAGAAGGCGTTAGTATTTAATAGCGTAAGTCTTATAAATGCGGTTATAAATAGTAAGTTATTGCCAAGGCTTAAGAGGAGGATAAGTGGCTATTACGTTATTATCTAGACCCCTAGCATAATTAATATAATTATAGCCCTAGCTTTAAAGCCTCTACGTACCCTTTATATCATAGGCTTACCGAGGTAGTTTAGGATACTATTAAAACTATAAACTAACGAGTTGGGATTCGGGCTCGCGATGTGCGTGCTGTTGTTTAAGAGTAGTTCCTAAAGTCCTTATTTACCTAGCGAGATATCTATAACGCTAGGGCTCGTATGAGCCGAGAGAAACTAGCTGGATATTCGCCAACTGTAGCGTTAATCAAGCTATTTAATAAGCGAGATATCCTATACGTAGTGAAATAGGTAGACGACGAGCTAAACCGCCTTATTGGCCTTATTTAGACCTTTCCTTACTGTCTCTAAATATAGAAGTGATTCCCTAAGGTGATTAGCTTTAATAATACTTATAATATTAATCGCTTTAAGCTCCCTCTCTTCTAAGCTACTAGGTAGACCTACCTCGGATCTATTTATAACGCCGCGTTCGGCCTTATTAATAACGAGAGACTAGAGGGTTTCTAGTTTCTCTTAGTAAGTATCCGCTAACTTATAGACTAATACTTAGTCCATTACCCTACTATTATTATTATAGACTATAATAAGTAGATAAAGGCTATACTAAATAAGTAGTTCCCAGACGTTTAGTAATAACTCTATATCCACTATATTAACTTTAACATTATACTTAGGGCTAAATAGAAGTGGGTTAAGGACCGTAGCTATAGTAGTAATAGTAGTAGGTCTGATAATAAGGGATATTAGCTATTAATATAAGCAATAGCTATACTAAGTAATAAGGATAAGGCTTATATTAATATACCTATTGATGAGCCCCCCCCTTATACATATCGTAGGGTCCTTATAATGTAGAAGCTTATTATTTTTACTAAAACTGAGTATACTTTCAAAAAAGCCTAGACTAAGCTCTGTAAAGAGTTTAACGATCAACGCCTAATCCTCCAGTACCTCTACGTAATATACCTACCTTTAAGAGCATAGTGGGCCCGTTACTCTATCCGAAAATACTAGAACTTTAGTATTCGCGTTACCTTTAGTACTGAGTTAAGTAATAATAATATTAAGGGTTATTTTTTAAATGGTTTTAGTTACTTATATCGGCTTATCGACGTTATACAGAACATGATTAGCAATTAAGAGCTACGTTTTTGCTAAGCCTATGTAGAGGACGAGGTGCTTATAGGCCGGGAGTATATAGGTACTTGCTTTAAGTACCTAGGCGAACTTCGAATAATACTTTCCTTAAAGTGTCTTGCTTTAATTAGGACGTAAGGCCGGCTTATAAAGAAAGTAATACCGTCTAGTAAGAGGCTATTCCTAGCCCCCCTCGGATATTATAGTCTAGATTATACTATTTCGATTAAGCTAAGTATCCTATACTACTATAAAATCTACTCTAAAATATTAGATTTACTTACTTTTAGTAAATAAGAGGTATACCCTTAGTAACGTCTTCGAAAGACGTCTTCCTTAAATCTATACCACCGGATCCTTAACCTTAAGATTGCTGTATCCCTCCGCAATAGGCTAAAGAATATAGTGTAGCCTATTCTATTATAACTAGCCTTACCTAAAGAAGGCCGGTTAGTTAATTAAGCCCGTACTACCTATAATAGCTAAGGCGTAAGTAGTAAGAAGCGAGGCTGCCTATCTAGGAGTAAGAACAAGTCGATACTAGCTAGGCTTATAGAAGAGATAAGTTAGCTAAGTTAAAGCCAGATATTAATCTCATCCTAGCGATAAATAAAGAGCTAGTCTAGCGTTCTTAGTAGGGGGAGGATAATAGGGAATTATATAAGTGGACGGCTAATGTAGCTTAGTATTTAGAGGAAACGGAGCTAGTAGGAAGTGGTCTATAGTAACGATGAATCTTT